GGAAGCAGTCCCCGAGCTTGCCGGAACATCGGCTGTTCTTAGGGTGTGGCTCACAAAACCAAATAGAAACCAGCAGCGGATGGTGGTCGCCGAAATGGCAGACGCACACGCTAGTAAGGTGTTGGCACTCCAGCATTTGAGGGTCGGTTGGGTCAACTGCAGGCTCAGACGGAGGGTGGAAGTAACCAGGTGTTTTAGGTGCCTCGGTTTCGGTCATTCCTCCCGAAATTGCAAGGGGCCCGACCGAGGCAAGCACTGCCTCCGGTGCGGAGGGGTGGGTCACGCTCGTAGGGACTGCCAAGTCGAATCTTGCTTTCTTTGTAAGGAAAATGGGCTCACGGGACAAAAACACCAAACATATAGCTGGGTCTGGGCAGTGCAGCGCTTTTAAAACTGCGCTTCAGCAAGCAAAAGCCCACCCTCGAAAATAAGAATACTCCAATGTAATCTTGGGCGATCCAGGACAGCTGACGCGCTTCTCAGTCAGCTTGCCCTCAAACACGGTGTCGACGCGCTCTTGGTCAGCGAGCAGTACCAGTACCGGAATAGGGTCCCACCCTTTTGGTTCCCCGATAGTCTTGGTACTGCTGCTTTCTGGATGCGTAATACAGCTCAAGTGCAAGTGCGGGGTCATGGAAAGGGCCGTGGATTTGTTTGGGTTCGGTGCAAGGACGTCACCTAGTACAGTGTCTACCTCACCCCTAACGAGGCTATCCATGACTTCCGCGAGAAGATAGACCGCTTGGAAGAGAGCGTGCAGGACACCACAGGGCATGTAGTCGTGGCTGGTGATTTCAATGCTAGGGCCGTCGAGTGGGGACTGACCCTCACTAATTCCCGGGGGAAGTACATCCTGGACTTTGCTGCCAGGGCCGGACTCGTTGTAATCAACGAGGGCAACACGCCAACGTTCCGGCGACCCGGGATGAGGGGAACGATCCCAGACATAACCCTCGCATCTGAGTCTCTTCTGCCAAGGATCACAGCCTGGAGAGTCTTGGAGGATTATACGGCCAGCGACCATCAATACATTATTTTCAATGTCTTAGATCGCATCCCGAGACAAGTTGCTGCATCTCGGGAAGTGCCCGTTCGGTGGAACACCAAAAAACTGGACGTGGCTAAATTCACCGAGGCCATCCTGCGGGGAGTGCCAGCGGTGCCTGCCGCACCTGGCATGGCTCATGCAGAGGCTATAGTTACATCGATGATGGGGCTGATTGCCTCGGCTTGTGATGAGTCAATGCCCCGCAAGAGACTCCGTTGCGATAGGAGACCCGTATACTGGTGGACTGCAGAGATCGCGGATTTGCGCCGAGCTGCTTTGAGAGCTAGACGACTCGCTACCAGGGCCAGGGTACCCTTGGATAGACGCCGTAAGCTGGAGAGCTACAAGGTGGCGAGGAAGTCTCTCCGCCGGGCCATCAACCGGAGCAAACACAATTGCTGGAAAACACTAAGGGATGATGTCGATTCCGACCCGTGGGGCCTGGGTTACAAACTAGTAACCCAAAAACTCACCACTCGCTCTCCACCTTCCGTCATGGAGGGGGCCGCTATGGAGAGGGTCGTCAAATCCCTTTTTCCGGATCATATTCTGCGCCCACTGCGTGAGTTTGAGATGATGGACGATGTCCCACTCTTCACTCATGAGGAGCTGGAGACTGCCGTTTTATCCCTAAAAAACAACAAGGCTCCTGGACCTGATGGGGTACCTGGCGAGGCTCTTAAGAAGGTTTTTTCAATCAATCCCCTGATTCTTCTGAGCATGTACAACGCCTGCCTAGCAGAGGGGGTATTTCCGTTGTGCTGGAAAAAAGCTAGGCTCGTGCTCGCAGGGAAGGGGAAAGGAGACCCAGAATTGCCGTCCTCTTACAGACCCCTTTGCATGTTGGATACGGCTGGGAAAGTCCTAGAGAAGTTGATCCGTTCCCGACTGAATCAGCCGTGGTTGCTGCGGGGGACCTGAGCCCTCGCCAATACGGCTTCAGGAAGGGGCGATCAACGGTCGACGCTATTGAGGAGGTGAAGCAAGCCGTGATGAGAGCTGAGGATTTTAATCACTACTCTCGTAGAGTTGTGCTGCTCGTTACACTCGATGTGCGAAACGCATTTAATTCTGCAAGATGGTGCGATATGCTGGACGCTCTGGAGAACAACTTCCACGTCCCGGCATACCTCATGCGCATTATAGAGGATTACCTCCGGTTCCGCCTCCTCATGTATGATACTACAGAAGGCCCGCGGACGATGAGTGTCACTTCTGGTGCTGCCCAAGGTTCCATACTCGGCCCGGACCTCTGGAACGTTGCCTACGACAGCCTCCTTAGGTCTGAAATGCCTGAAGAAACCGTTTTAGTTGGGTACGCAGATGACATTGCAGCTTTAATAGCTGCTCGTAGTGTTGAGCTGGCCCAGCTAAAATTAAACCGAGTCATGCGAACTATAAACGCATGGATGGCAGATCACGGTCTCTCACTCGCGCTGAACAAAACTGAGATCGTGATTCTGACCAAAAAGCGGATTGACACCATTGTGCCGTTGAGGGTGGGGGACGTCGAAGTCCAGTCCGTTCGTGCCGCCAAGTATCTTGGTGTCATGGTGGACTCTAAGCTTAGCTGGCGGGACCAGATATTCCGAACGGCGGACAAGGCCGCTAAGGTGGTCTCTTCTCTTAGCCGGTTAATGGCCAATGTCGGAGGTCCTCGTTCCAGTCGCAGAAGGCTGTTGATGTCTACAGTTCAGTCTGTGCTCCTGAATGGTGGGGAAGTGTGGGCAGACGCGCTCAATAAGGAGGTGTATAGGATGCGGCTTGCCAGAGTGCAGCGTCAGGCAGCACTCAGGGTAGCATCCGCCTACCGAACAGTGTCTGAACCTGCCATCTTGGTGGTTGCTGGAGTAATCCCCGTCAAACTTTTGGCGGCGGAGAGGAAAGCGATTTATCAGCGGCTTGGAGAGGACCATGCAAAGATGGAGGAGCGTAACCGCACCTACCAGCTCTGGCAGGAGAGCTGGGAACAGGAGTCGCGGGGACGCTGGACCAGGAGACTGATTCAGCAAGTCCAACCATGGGTTGACCGACGGTATGGTGAGGTGGACTATTACCTTACCCAGTTTCTGACAGGTCACCGGTTTTTTCGGTCGTACCTGTTCAGGATGGGCAAAGCCGTGTCACCCGATTGCATCTACTGCCCAGGCACTCCCGACGACGCGGAGCACACCTTCTTCCGCTGCCAGCGTTGGGAAGGTTCCCGCCTGGAGGCTGAACAACATGTAGGGCAGTTGTTGGTGGACACGGTCATTCCGATGATGACGGAGGGTGAGGACAATTGGACCTGTATGTCACATTTCGTCCAGGATATTCTCCGCACAAAGAAGCTAGAGCTTGACCGAGATGCGGTCTAGGTCATAAAGAAATTGAATGCCAAAAACGGCGCGAGCCCTGAGGGCTTAGGTCACACGTTGACCTGACCTGAAGTAATGTGACAAACAATCCCAGGTCTGTGTCCAACAGAGTAGAGGGGGTTTTTTAGTGAGTAGTCTGACAAGCTCAGGAGTCTCACACTACAGGCTGGCTACCTGTGTGCGTAAAAGCATTTTTACCTCCTCTCCCTTATAAAAAAAAAAAAAAAAAAAAAGTTAACCAGTCAGCACCATAATCTTACAATTAATGGGAAAAATAAAAATACTTCATGTACAGTCTTTTCTTTACCATGTAAAATTTGTCTACGGTATTCCAATATTATGGTGTTGTAAATGTATGTAGATGAAAAAAAATATATAAATATAGCCTACTAGCCTATACAGTCTAACCTTGATATAACGAACCTCAATATAATGAACCTCAATATAACAAACTCCTTGATATAACCAATTATTTTACATCCCATAGAACTCTCAATGAGACACAATGTATTTTTTACCTCTAAATAAGGAACTAACCCTATCAACAATCTTGAGTTTAGGTCTAAAGAATTTTGGACGATCCGGATAGTCATATAGTGAATTTATCATTATCAGAACACAGAGCGAATTTAACCTCTACTTAAAGAATTTTCTTTGTATTTCCCTCCACATCATTGATTTAGAAACATGACAGTTTCTTTGATGAAAATTAAATAGAAAGATGACGTCAACGCTGACAATCATCTGATACGTTTTACACATATGTCTGCTGTGCGCTACGTCATAAAAGATTTCACTGGCTGGGGACTGATGACGACATAATTTGATTAGTAAACTGTGATTGGGTTTTAAGTGACCAAGGTGAACTGTAAAATTTGAAGAGAAACCCAAGAAGGAATAGAAGATCAAAGAGAAAGAATACCGACATTCTTCTAAAAAGAATGTAAAATGGTGTTTACCATAGAGAAATAAATAAATTGTAACATTAATGGCTGGTTTACATAATTATAACAGTGTGAATATGGGTTTGTCATCTTTTTTTACCATGTTTGAATAGCCATGGTTTTTCACTATCAGTGGTCTCCATCTTCCTCTCCCTATTACCCCGGCTTGTCGAAGTTCTACTTTACAAAAAGTAGCGTAGAAAATGCTACTTACTGTAGTTGTGTTTAAATGAGGTCAATTCTCAACATATATAGTCCGATGCTGTTTGTGAATCTGGACTAAGCGAAGTTCCTACAAATCTAACCTAAATATAACAAAAATTGTTTTAAAGAAATTCTTGATAATCTTATAACAAATATTCAGTTAGGTCCGTTTAGATGTGTTTAGAATTAGATGAGTTATACCATGGTTAGCCTGTAAAAATGGTTTTAGTTTGAATTTTTTTCCTGTTTTTTCTTAAAACCCAGCTTTTGTTAACCAACCTGGTGCTCTTAAAGTAAACATTATGCTAAGTTTAAGGGATTGTACCATTGAAGAATACTATTTTGTGAAATTTACTTCGAATTGTGTCACTTTAAATTTTTTAATGCTGCCTGTCATGAGGATGATTAGTTGCAGCTCTCAACACATATTAAATATATATCACATACCTTTGACAGAACGCTGCAGTTCTCTATGTTTTTCATTGTGGTGATCAGCATAATCTTCCCCAAGCCCATTCTTAAGCAGAAAGTATTTATGGTACTCAGCCCAAGAAACAACACCTGTTAAACATTCAAAAAGATACTTAATCAGTTACCGAATGTCTTATAATGACATTGTTTCTACAATGCAGAGTAAGTTCTCCCTGATTGATAGGTCTAACTTTTTCATTTTCTAGATAAGTAAATACATTAGATGTGGTGTTAGCCAAGTGGTTAGCGCCTCTGGCTTTAGTGCGGGAATGACAGGTTTAATTTCAGCACATCTACAAAACACGGCTTGCCTGAAATCCTTATAGTGCTGTACACAGTGCCGTATTTACCACTAGGCCGATTTGGCCGCGTACTTGGGCCGCAAGCAAAAGGGGGCCGCAGAGGATTGAGAAAACATTTTTTTAGAAAACAAATAATTTATTTTAAACCACCAGTTTGCCGCGATCTTAGGTGACCATAATGATGTCTCAGCGGACCGAGGGAGATGTTCACGATTTTGACTAAGCCGCAGGTGCCGGTGATGATGTCCCCGTGATTGCAGCCCGCGGGAGACATTAACGATTTCGCTGCGGTCACAAGTGGCGATGATGATGTCCCCGTGATTGCGGCCCGCGGCAGATGTTCATGATTTCGCCGTGACCCGGAGTGTTGATGATGATGTCTCCGTGATTGCGGCCCGCGGGAGATGTTAACGATTTAGCCGCGACTAAAGGTGTCAATGAGCATGTCCCCGTGATGGCTTCCCTAGTAGGATGTTTACGATTTCGGCACGGCCGCGGGTGACAATGATGTCCTCATGATCGCAGTCGACGGGAGATGTTTTTAACACGACTTTGCTGCAATCGCAAGTGTCGATGATGATGTCCCCGTGATTGAGGCCTGCGGGAGATGTTCACGATTTTACTGCGGTCACAGGTGACGGTGATGATGTCCTCCAAGCCACAGCTCACGGGATATGATCAGACTTTCGCCGTGGTCGCGAGTGTCAAGGATGATGTCCCTTTGTTGCAGCCCGCGGGGGATGTTAAATATTTTGCCGCGGTCACGGATGCCTATTATAACTTTGACTTGTTTTAGGAGGGATGTCCATCATTTCATCCACGATCACGGGTGTCGATGATGATGGCCCCTTGATGCATAGGAGATATTCACAATTACTTCCGCGGTCACAAGGAATTTCCACCACAGGGGGAGGGCCGCTCAAGTAATTTGGTCTAGGGCCACAAGTACCCTATATCCGGCACTGGCTGTACAGTAACAATGAATACTGATACAAACTCTTTAAGAAGCGCAATGTCTTTGTAAAAAATTCAGTCTGGAAATGCCTTACTTTTCAAGCGAAGCTTATTTCAGCTGTAAAATTCCAGTCTGAGCATTTATCCATAAGCATTTCGCTTCTTAAAGGGTTCGTATTCATTGACAGTAACCTCTTTTGAAAATCCCATTTTTTAAGCTTAGCCAGCTCAAGGTGAACTTAGAACCACAAGGTCTGTTACTATTTATTTTTGTTTCTTTAATAGGCCTACTCCAACTAGGCCTACTAATATCTTAAAAAAACCACTCAATGTAAATAAGATTTAAAAGCTCACCATTAGCTGGGTCCCTATCAATTGATATGAACAGTCCATAATTTTCTTGGACACCCTGGTTGATGTGTTTTTGAGTTTCCAAATGTATGTATTCTGAGAGCTCCTCAATTGTCAACAGTTTGTCTGCATCCTTGTCAACTCTGAAAATAAAATTAACTAGGTACAGCTATTTACATATTTATCAGTATTAGTGAAACCGGTACTTTCCTGTTAAAGGGAACATTCATTATTATGGATGATTTCTTTTCGATATATCGATGGTATTTTGAAACGATAACTTATCATAGAGCAAGTTTGGTTAGTTATGTTATATTAGTTTAAAATAGTTTAATTTCTTAATCCAATATATAGGCTATTATTTTTTCCTTAAACAAGATAAGTTCTTAATCCTATTCTCTATACGAGCTATAACTCAATAACTCGGTTATTGAACCAAGTATAACTTATAAATATTTGCTATGTCTGTTTGTCTGTCTGTCTGTAATTTAAATGTGTTTAAAGATATTAAATTACAGATGGAATATGGATCGTAAAGGAAAACAAAAATATCGATATAGGCTATCGAAAAGAAATTAGGCTAATAATGAATGTTCCCCTTAACAGGAAAGTATCGTGAAACCCAAAGAGACTTGACTACCTATATAAGCTACAATAGGGAGTCCCTTATAGGCCAGGAACACACCCACCTTTCCTCAAACGATTTTTTCACAGACATTAAACTTACCCTTAGGTTTGTGCAATACATAAAAGTAAATTGGCCATGCCACAGTAGAGTTAAAACGTCCGTGAGGGAATTAACCTGCGCATTAAGTTTTTTAATGGCCGAGAAACTTAGTGGGGCATTGCAGCTTAAGGTCCGTGAACATACTCGCCTTACAACGTATGATTTTTTACCCCCCAAAAATCTTGTTTCAGTAGTCCGATCATGCTGGTTTGCAAACTTGTTTGAATAGACATAGGTATGTACACATTTGTACCAAATTTAATCAAAATTAAATTCCATTCATAACCATTCCACCATTCTTAGCTAGTCTACTTGAGTTGCTATTTGCTAACGGTCACATACACACACATTATGTAGCCTATAGAATTTGAACAAGAGATGGTGTTATTGGCCTAGCTCTGAGGTCCCCCCCCCCCAAAAAAAAAAGTAAATTGGTTATACGACCTTCGGTTTAAGCTTATTCGCTAAAATGGAAATTTGCAAAACTAACTTAGCTTAACCTAATAACATGATTAAAAGCACAATAAATAAGACGTTAAGTTTAATTATAATTTGTCCTAGAATCAAACTCAATTGATAACAGCATGTAGTAAATATCAATATCAATATGGAAAAATCAATAACCAATTGATTTAGGCTTACTGTAGCCTATATCAAAGTGTTAACAAAATTTTTATTTGTTAAGCTAACTTATTTAACTTAGTTGAATAGGTACCTTAACCTAAACATTCTAAGAGCAATAATCAAGCAAAATATATACAACAAAGTTTACTGCGGCATATTAACTGTGGATTAACGTCCGCACGAGTGAGTACTACGACTATCCGCAGTACTATCGTGATAATTAGACCAATTCGTATATACCAAGGAAAAATGTGGTTCGGATTCCACTATAAACTGTAGGTCCCTTAGTTGCCATTAGCTGTTTGGGCTATTAATTAACAGCTGTGTCTAAGGAATGTCGGCCTTAGTCACTAACAAGACTACAAGATTGCGCCACTCATTCTACACTCATCTCCATTCATACTTGGCTTAAAATACCTACTATGTATGGTCGCCATTTCAATGAAAAGTATTAAAGTAAAGTATTAACTCACTTCAGGAATATAGATGCTAGCAGTTCAGTGGGAGGAAAATTCTTCCGGTCTTCATTATTAAAATTACGTTGGAGACTATCCTTGTCCACCACATTTACACTCAAAACAACACTTTTATCTTTGTTTTGCACAATTGTCTTTTTGAATAATTTTTCTAAACTACTCTTTTCTGATGATCTCAATGGTACAGAAGAAAAATTGAGTACAAAAATAAATATTACATAGACCAATAACGGAATACATACTGAAAATCTTTGGACGGTGAAACCACAGTTAACTGGTTTGGAGAAAAATGTCATGGTAACATACACACCTTATAAATACAACAAAGTTTTTCATCAAATTGATTTGATTCCTTATGACATTCAAATTCAATGCCGATCTCAACTTCAAGTTTGCTTGTTGCTTCTTGCATAGGCCAATACTAGAATTCAAGTAGGCCTATTCATGATAGGCCATCAAATTAGGTCTGTCGGTGTATTTACTTAGCAAACAATGACAACAATGAGCAAATACAGGTACTGTATTTATCTTCTTTAAATAAGCGCAATGCTAATGATATCCTTCAGTCAAGAGACAAAATGTTTCATAAAGACTTTCACTAATCAGTTAATACCTATGATTTCTAAACTTTCTATTTAGACCTAAACTTAACTGTTAACTTGGAATAAGTTAACCTATAAACTTGTTTCTACATTTTAAAACAATCTCATGACACAAAATATACCTAAAAATTAAACCAAATGAATGTTCAATATAAGGTTATTAACTTAATTGTTTAATAAAAATACATCTAAATTGGAGATTTAAAAGCTCCTGTTATTGATGTTTACATCTTTCGAATGCAGAAGACAGAAGAAGAGCAGCAGCAGAAAAGCAGCCCAACAATTTTGTTTGACTGATTGCAGACTGCAGAGCAGGGTATTTACTCAGGGGAGGTACGGAAGAGGCTACGATGACAGCTGTGGGCTTCTTATTAGCTGAGGGAACGGCTATTACCGTAACAATACGGTTTGTGGACAACGGCTTCGGTGGTCTAGTGGTTAGCGTGCCGGGCTGGCGTGCAAAAGGTCCCGGGTTCGAATCTCGCTGGTTGCATTAACTTTTTGTCTCAGATTTTTTCATTATCAGCAAGTTTGGTTGGTTTGGTTCGGTTATGACAGTTTAATTTTATTATTAAGTCATTATACAATTTTAAAGGAGCAATTTCTAGTTTTATTTAATAAACATAATTATTTTTTCTATTACTAATCTTTTTTATATTATTTAATTATCAGCAAGTTTGGTTAGTTCGGTTAGGTTATGATAGTTTAATTTTATGATTGAAAAAATTGTAAAATTGAATTTGATGCATTTATAATTTTATTTTATGAACAGAACTATTTTTGCGAATAGTAAACCTTCATTGACAAAGTGCTCTCTATTACAGCGCTGTTCGCGGAGGAATTTTGAACTAAATGCCTCATTCGTACCTCCCCTAAGTCAGACCCGCAGAGCAGCAGCAGACAAACCATTCAACAAAAAATAGTAATATAAGCTTCATAGAGTAATCTGGAGTAATCGAGTAATCTGACTAATTCGTTGGTGGTTTTATACACAAGTAAAAACATAAATAATTGTGGAACAATTTTGCCAACGTACTATCGTAGTGTATAGTAATACAAAAATAATTTTTATGGGTCAATAAGGTGGCGAGAAGATTCCACGAGGTGCGTGAGGTGGACTAATATTACAGTATGTACTTACTAGAGCTCGCCCATAGAGAGATGGCGATGGCTCGTCCCGTGGCATAGACAAATCCCCGTGGTCGAAAACTAGAAAACTCGACCAAAAGTATGTAATGTGCAATACTCACTATTTTCACCCCCACGCTGTAAATAAAACATGTGATTGGAATCTCTTCCATTTGTTTGATTTTCCTTTAGCGAATTTCTCATACCTATCGGGAATAAGCTAATTATATTTTGTTATTTCGTCACAAACATGGCAACCCATAAGGCCCATGTTTAATTTTTTTTAATTTAATAGGTAGTACTGTTAATGTACACGCATTGACTATTGGATACTGAAGTAGACATTCAATCTATATGGACCAGCTGTCGCCATTTTTATTTTATTAAAAAACATGTAGTTGTGTGAGCAAGTCACAGAATGTGTGTCTAAAATTCTATTTTCCCCCTATTTTTTGTTGCTGACAAAGTAGATGGGTAATAACAGTTGCTATAATGAGTTCATAATGAGTCATTCAAAAAGTTTGATTTGGTAAAAAGGATCATGTAATCGACAGAAATTATTCATTTTAGATCAGAGAAATCTGTTGGTGGCTCACATCAACTACAAGGAATTTAATTAAAAAACTGGCGACAACTTTAACATGAGGATGGAATGTCTAGTTGTAAGTCAAAGGTACAGACTTCTCTAATCTAACCCAACGCTGTAAATAAAACATGTGATAGTAAATTCTTACATTTGTTTTGATTGTCTGTTTATATTTCGTGTTGTTATTTTGTCACCAGCATGGCAACCCATATAAAGCCCATGTTAATTTTTTTAAATTTCAAATTCACTTTTTATGTGCTTATTTTACCCTATTTTAACCCTACTTTCATTTTTAAAGGGATTCTGCACATCTACAGTATAATATCTCTAGGTTGTAGGCCTTTATATTTTAAGGTAAGATGAGCTTTCACATTACGTTGGAGATAAGTTTACTACTTAAGTCATTTGGAACAAATAATACCAATTTAGTAAGATTGAAACTTTTGTTTTACACTTGCCTGATGATTATTCAAGAATAAATCTAAATGGTAAAACAAAGAGTATACCGGTCATCCATAATTTTGTGATTTATTTAAAAAATAAGTAAATTCGAAAATCCATTGATATCCTTCAGTCAAGAAACAAAATGTTTCAAAAAGACAAAATCATGATTTTTCTATTTTATCGTTGTGATAGAAGCTCCTTATGAAGAATGGTCCGAAGTTTTGTATATTAGTGAGAAATGTTCCGTCATTGAAAAAATATTTAGCTATCACGATTTGGTGAAATTTTCATATTTATCTTTTTACTAGCAAAAATCTTGCAAATAAGTGAACACCTATTACCGTGTTTTAGCGAATTTCCCATATAGGGAATAAGCTATTACCGTAGTACTCATGGTAAGACCTGGACGCGGGACCGATTTTTTTTTCGTTTTGAGGTCCCTAGAGGCCAAAAACACCATCCGTTCAAATTCATATATATATATATATATATATGTGTGTCCGTCAGCACGATAACTCGAGCAAAAATGATCCGATTTTGATGAAATTTGGTACAAACGTGTAAACCTACGTCTATTCGAACGAGTTCGCGATCCAGCATGATCGGACCATGGGAACGGGTGTTTACGGGGGGTTTTATGGGGTAAAAATAGGTTTTTCCCAATTTTGACCCAAAAAACATAAAATTTAGCAATTAATTTCCAAACCATTTTGTAGAGCTTCAAAAAACAAATAATTTAGTATATTGAAGCGTTATTATGCGCCTAATGGTTACGGAGAAAATTCCAAAAAATTGTTAATTTAAAATTCCCATGTTATTCTTATGGAGAATGAGTAAACTGTTGTAGTTTGCTTGTTTACGAACATATTTTGATCAAATTTGGAAAATGTTTTTATTTCTTACTAACTATTAACATTTTACAAAAAAAAACAGTTTTACCCTCCCTAATGCAGCAAACCTAAGTACTTGTTAAACTAATTCTATTTAAATCGGGAATAAATGTTATATTTTTAAGTAGACATTTCAGTGTAAATCCAATCAGTCAAATGGAAATTCGCTTAGTCTGCAGGTTTGCTGCGGCGGGGGTATTATATTTTATTACAGCCACCAAGTAGAGCGTAACAATTTTACATTGACGCATATAGCTACACAGAAAATCCCCCAAAAATAAAACTGGTAAAATTTGCTTATTTAAGAACATTGTATTTTTATCAAATCTGGCAAATTTATTTATTTCATCTTCTAATATTTTAAACATTTGATCAAAAACACTTTTCACTCTTTCCGTAACAGAAAACCTATAAGTACTCGTTAAATTTAATGTTATTTGATTTGGGAAAATAAGTATGACTTGGTTATGGAAATATTTTAGTTAAAATTCAATCAGACAAATTGAAATTCGCGTAGTCTGTGGTTTGCTGTGCCGAGGGTATTTTTATATCAGAACATTTCCTCAGCTTTTATGTTTAATTATTGTGGATTTTTTCCATTACGTGAACCTGGTTCTCATGTTTTATAATTTTCAAAGACGGCAGAACTGACTACATTACTGGCAAATTCGGTTTAAGCGTTTAGGTTAGGTTGCATTATCCAAGGATGGTTTGTGTGAAGTTTGGTGCAGATCCGTCAAAAGGGCTCCACCACCTCAGTGGCTCTGGACTTTCCCATGTTAACCTTATGAGTAATCACATTTAAATGGAATTAAAGAATCTTAACATTTGGTTCAACTAAACAAATTGATTCTGTGGTAATCAATAGCATTAAAAAGTTAATAGGTTTACCAACAGGGTGCAGCACTATTATTTTTTAAATTTATGACAGCAGCTAATTTGCAACCAAAAGGTGACTGAGCGTAGCAAACAAACTTAAATCTGGAGTCGAGTTAGCGTAGCGAACGAGCTAACCTGAAGGCAAGTGAGCGCAGCGAACGAGCTCCAACCTAAAGGTGAGTGAGCGTAGCGAAGGAACTTCAACCAGGACGTGATTGAGCCATAAGAACGAGCTCATCTTGAAAATGAACGATCATTTGACATAAAACCACATTAGGACAGGACGACGTCTGTTGGGCCAGCTAGTTTTTTTTTATAAAATGCGTGTAAATATTAATTAGTCACTAATTAACATTTGGAACATTTGGTAACATTTGGAAGAATCAGTTTGAACAATCAGTGGAATTGAATTTGAGTGGAAAATCAGCTGTTCCTGCCCGCCAAAACACCCGCCATTCCCGCCACGTGCCGCCACTCTGTTTTCACGTAGTCAGTTTCCCGCTGAGGTGCGACTTTCCATTCCTATTCTCCCATCGCGACGGACGTCCAAGGAAAGTTACGTGTTTTGTCGGTTTGACAGACAGACGCGCGCTTCTACTGCTAGGAGACAATTTACAACGGTAAGTTTTCTCCACATTAAATAAATTTGTTACCACGTAATTAAAATAATATCTTGATTATCATTGTACTTATCGGTGCTATTATACAGATAAATAAACGTATTTAAACTTAAATTAATATAGCTTAGTTAAGGGTGATTTTAACTATCACAGTTAGTGTAAATTGTAGATATATCAAAAATAATACTGGGAGATGTATTTTAATTTATCCGTAGGTATAATGTTGTTCCGTCATGTGTCTGAGTAAAAAATATGATATTTTTTACAATGTACCTCCCAGTATAAAATAGTCTGTTATATTTATGTTTTTATTAACGCTTAAGGTATAATTTTACATAGAAATATGTTTTAATTATTTAACAAGCGTATTGTAAGAAGGTGCCCGTGTTATTGCATAAAATCGAAACTAATAATGATAATGCTAATGTGGCATTTGTTCTATGATAAATCAGTATGTTATTTGTTTTAATAATGTATGGTTTTAATATTTTATCATTCATTATAATATTAATTGAATGGCGTATTCTGTATTTCAATAATTTCAAAATGTTTGATTTAGTTCCTAGCACAATATGCTATAATAGGTTTAAAAAGGTTATATGCAAATTAGATAATGTTAAATTACTAGGGTTAAAATTTCTTGAAAATAGGCTACTTATTAAATAAGAGTTAATTCTTTAATTTCTTCGGCCGAATCCTCATCTCGACTTGTGTGTAGCCTATATAAAAATGAATGTAATTTCGATGTTGGTACGGTCTAGCGGTCTATGTACTCCAGTTTAGCCAACGTAACAACAAAATAATTTAACTAGTCAAACTCAAAAAGTTATAGTTTAATTATTAAATACTTAATATTATTTAATACTTATTTTGTTGTAAATTGCGACATATTTGTATTTTTGATGGTTTGAAAGCAAATATGTGTTTCGAGAGTTATTAGACATATGTTTATTTACTTTTCATAAATTGAATAACACGTGCAATAGCAGATCATGAAGTTATTTTAAAGGTTTAATACATTTAAACAACTAACATAAGTAGACAACTAAATCATGTACGCACGTTTGTTCTTTATGCATTACTAAACAGTATTTGATTTTCGATAACCTTTGGGAAATGTTTCCATTCGTATGCCTAAGATGATCTATGTGTCTCTGTCCGGTAAGCTACCATTATTATTGAGCACACTTCCTTGAGATCGGGCCTTAAAAAAATATGTTTAGAGTGTACATTGAAGCCTGCAAAAATTTCACTTTAATAGGTCCAAGACTAATATATATAACGGAGTTATTATAATTTCAAAAGTGAATAAAATCTACTATTTGGAGAGTTATTAAGATCAACAATTTGAATGTTAGAAAACACTGCAATTTGAAAAGGTGTTAGCCCAATTTGAAAGTGTATATACAGCAAAGTTGAATATTAAAAGATTAATTGAAAGGGAAGTAATTTATGTAATCTAACGGCAATATTAGCAGCCAATTTGATTGTGAACTGTGCGTGAAAAAGATACACTCGCATGCACGGGAAAGCCATTGATTGAGGATCGACAACTCGTTGGAAAGCTATTTAGCAATTATCGTTGATAAAGAATGAGTATAACTTTCTGTTTCGTGTGTATAACAATACTGTAGTGAGTTGAGAAAACGATGCACGTCAAGAATTTAATCGGGAACGCCATTGAAGCGAGCAATTTCTGAATTAGGTCTAACCGTAGTTCAATTAGTCTTCCGGTAACGAAGAAGGTATCATTTGGTTACTTCATTTAGCCAGCAACACATTTCGCACATTTAAAGAAGTTTACTGCAACATTAACTTTGAAGACTACAAATACAAACTATTTTGTATATTGAAGCATTGCTGTACAATTAAAGGTTACGAAGAAAATTTAAAAAATGGCAAATTTAAAATTCCTATTATCCTTGAGGAGAGCAGGAAAACTGCCTCAATTTACTTGTTTAACGATATAGTTTGCTCAAATTTGACAAATTTATTCATTTAGTCCTATTAACATTGAAAAATACCTTTTCCCTTTCCAGTAGCAGCAAACCTAAAACATTTAAATAATAAAACCGTTTAGATAAAAAATGTTATTTAAACGGGTGATGCATTATTACTTTTTAATGGAAACGTTTTAGTTGAAATCCAATTAAATTGAAAATCGCTAAATCGCTTAGTCTGGAGGGTTGCTGCAGCGAGGGTATTTTTGGAAACGGAATATTTTCTCATCTTTGATGTTTAGTTGTGGCACAGTTTGTTTTGCTTTTTGAAAACCTGGTGCTCATGACTGAACAGGAACTACAATTTTAGCCTGAATTTGTAATTTAGCTATTTTCAGCTAGACTGGGAACTGTGAGGATAAGTCTACAAGGAAATTTATCTTACGATAGCGTTGCTAGTTTGAATTTTTATCCCAGTCCTATTTATTGCTATACCCTAAGCCATAAGCAATCTTCATGGTTTTAATATAAAACATTGCATTCTGAGGTTTTCTGCGTGTTAGTTGTGAAGGAAGTAATTGCGTCAACCGACGACCGGCGACCGGGGCGGCGAGAGAGCGAGAGTAGCACGGTTGATCGCCCGCGTTGCTTGGCGTCTGTGGTGTAATGATGGAATGGTCCGGTGCTCAACGCTAGAAACAACACAAAAACCCAACCAGACTGACCATGTGACGTCATGGAGGCCGTAGTGTCGAAGCGGTGTGGTTTACTACACCATTGACTATAGTAGACTTTCGTCATAAATTGATTGAACATTATTATTTTACACATTTTTTTTATTTATTTATCATCATAGACTATTTATTTAACTAACTGTTTAAGGTTAGTTGAGTTCGGTTAAGTATAAGAGAAGGCATAGTTTACTATTTTGTTCTTTCTTGCTATTAAAAAAAAATGTATTTTTAAAATTTTAAAACTATTGTTTTTACTATACAGTTGTAGACTGTAGGTACTAACTGAAGTACTACCTAGTAGGTACTAACGGATTGGTATAATAAGTAGATAGCAAATTACAAATCGAAAATCGACCCCACAAAAAAGAAACATTAGTCAACACGCATTCAACAAACAACCAAACACATGACAGTTTTAAAAGGAATTTTTATAAAACGAAACACTAAGTTTTTAACATATTTCGTAACTATTAACTGAAAACAAAGTTTCCATTACATTAATATTTGGGGAAATACTATTTTATTGTTAGTTGACAATATAACAATTCAATTTAAATTAATTGGCCAATACAGGCTCACATCCGATTCAGACAGAGCACAGTCAAACTGATTTATCACGATAACATACTTTTGTGTTCTCTTTCTCACGCCATAGAAACCAGGTTGACAAAACATTTCACCATCACAACATGTTGCAGTATCATTGCGAGCAAAACTACTAGATTTTAATGACTTTCATCTATTGTGTATCTAATAATAAAAATTGATTCTTGATTGGACAGACCTTACTACCTTGCCTTGGACAGACCCACTAGTTAGGATTTTTTATAGAACCGTAAATAATGTAAATCAAATGCTACAAACTAGAAGATTTAGTTTGAGTATAGATTAAGGCTTTCATACATGGGCGTTCTCAGGAATTTTCTTCCAGGAGTTAATAGGGAAGGAGTCAAACACCACAGTATCCTGTTCCAGAGATTTGATGAAAATGTCCTACTCTATAAACAAGTTAATGAGATACACTTTTAAACATGATTGTTAGCTGTCCAAAAGCCGGAGTTATTATATTTAAATGAAAATGTTTAAGCTAACTTTTTCAACCTAAGCTTACAAAACATAGTTCTGTTTTAAATTAGTTTTTCTCAGGGGGGGCATGGCCAACACCCCCCTGCAGGGAGGGGCCTATGCTTTTGTGAAGTAATAGTTAAATAATAAAAAAAAAATTATGTAACTAATTAAGAAATCACGAAAAATTTTACTTTAACACCATATAATTTAATAACATGGGTGTAACCATGGATGAATATCAATTTTTAAAATTTGACTATGGGGCTACCTTTGTTGTGTTTGAGGTGGCTGTGGCCATGCACCTCTGCAACCCATTATGTCACAGCAGCTTTCACAATTAGTGCCTCAGAGACAAAAAACCGGTTGTATAACTTAATCAAATTAATTGTTGTCTCTTCCTTCCATAGTGACACTCTTCCTTCTTTGCAGATATAAAATATAAAGACAACAAACTAAATATGTTAAATCCATTGATTAAACATGTATATAAAATAAAACAAAAAGTCCTAGCCGAAGACCACACAATGATGACTAAAATAAATGTATGACAAATAGAAAACTGTACAAACTATTTACAGAAACTGTTGGTTTAGGAGAGATTAACTACAAAATGCCCATGACGGAATGGTCCTCGAGTTAAGTTGTGCTGAGGGGGTGCAAAAAAACACCCCTTTTGGCTGCAGCTTCCACCTTGCTACCCCTGACTACTCAAAGTTTGGTAAGTAAAAACTGATATATAAAGTATCTTCACTTAAGTAAAAAAATCTATATTCTGGAGACAAGGGTTTTGTCTATTAAATTTCTTTTCCAGCCATCCTACATAACCGATTGTTATGATTAGATGTTAAAGCTTGATCTAGCACACCTGTCAATTAATGGGAATAAAAACTAAAAAGGAATTTCTTGGAGGGCTTCGCCTCCCTCAAGTTTATTTATTTCTAGAGTCTATGTTCAAAGATCCAGTTATGCTTACCAAACTTTTTTATAATAATTTAAATGTGAATTGTAATTTAACAGTTGTTCCTTCATTTGAATGTTCAACCACAGTCAGGTTGTAAACAAGAGATGATAGATACGGTTTATGAAAATGTATTTAAAAAAGGCTAGGATACTTTTTTGACATATTTGACCTGATTGAGGTGGTTAATAATCACGCTTTATTGTGTTGATCTAAAATCAACAAATTTACTGTGAATTAGTAGTTCTATTTAAAATTTTTATAAAAAAAAAACAAAAAAAAATTGATAGTAAATGGGTGTTGCAATGAATTCATTTTGCCTCGGAAATAAGTTTTTGACTCTATTAAACTGTGAAATTTGCACATGAGTACCCTTACAAAAATTACTTGTGAAGGAAGGTGGAGGCTGAGATAATCATGAAATCATGCATTAACTTATGCACAGACATTATGTTAATGCATAGCTAGATGTCTAATTTAATCAAACATAAACTCGTAAAACACAGTACTTTGGATGATAATAGTACAAATTTGTTGTTTTCACCCAATATAAGCTCTTGACTAAATGTAAGTATAGACTAACCAACCACAACTCATATGGTTTTATCTATGATGTAAGTTAAGCTGAGAATCACATCAAACGTCAAACATGTTAACTTGATGATCTATGATTGATGTTATACTTCACTATAGAAGTTAATGTTTAGCTGGAATTCTTTTCTTGTCTTTATTGAACTATATATTCTAGTGGTATTGGCAGTGTTTCCAATATGCCAATGAATGACTTAATTACCATGTATCTAAATTTATTTATTTACTAGCTGTACCCGCGGGCTTTGCCCCGTTTAACTTCATAAGTATTCGCATGGCTCAATCACGTCCTGGTTGAAGTTCGTTTGCTACGCTCACTCACCTTTAGGTTGGAGCTCGTTCGCTGCGCTCACTTGTTTTCAGGTTAGCTCGTTCGCTACGCTAACTCGCCTCCAGGTTGATGTTCGTTCGCTACGCTCACTCACCTTTACAGTAGGTTGCAAATTAGCTGTTGTCATAAATTTAAAAAAGTCATCCCTTTTATTGTTTATAATACTTTGATAAAGGTTTTTATGTTTTAATATTTAACATTGAAGAATTTAAACGTTGTTAAGTGCACAGGTGTGCTGCGATTGGGGTTTTATACATTTGGACTTATTCAAAAGTAAAATAGTTTTCTGTGCTGCACTCTGTAGAAACACTGTGGCACTATTTCAAATCATGACTATTGCCAAAGATTACAGAATGTTGTGATTATTCAAACCTACAAAACAGTTAGTGAAAGTAAACATCTGCTTTTGAATATTATATTTATTTGTAAACACTGTAGATCAAAAAATCCGACATTGGCCCACTTAAAACCCTCTGGGGCAGAGCCCTTTTGACGGATCTGCACCAAACTTCACTCAAACCATCCTTGAAAGATGCTTAATAATGCCTGAAAGTTTCCTTACAATCTGTCGAGCGATTTCGGAGTCAATAACGTACATACATATATATATGTGGGACACACATACATAGTTCCTCTTTTATAGATATAGATTTCCTCTTCAATCCAAAACATTCTTTATCAGTATAATTTGTTCAGAGTTTTTTCTCTTCCTTTTTTTCTTTAACTTCTTTTTTGCTACTCCTTCCTCATACTGTTGCTTTTCTTCACCTAACCTTTAAAATCGTACTTCCTCCTTGTCTGATTTTATTAGGTAGTTTGTATTCGTGTTTAGACTTTAGCGTAACCAGGAAGATCCAATGCTGTGTGGTAATGGCATGGTGTGTCTACTAAGGATTTCTTCACAAAGTTTTTCAAATTGAACATTGTTTATCTTTTTTTTTCGGAGTAACTTAAACATTATTTATTTGTTTAGACTAAAATAAATAATTTGTGCATTCTAGCTCCATCCCTCCTGACTAACCTGACCTCCAAGCACAAGCTGTGGCTGTTGAACCAGAGGGTACAACCTGTGCTGAGGAATGCAGACGTTGACCATGGTGGAGTCAGCAAACCCTTGGGGGAGCCTCGTCCCTCCTCGACACAGGAGAAGGTTTACATGTTCAGGTTAGTCATAGCGCTATCTAAAAAATCTATACATAGTTAGATGGTTCACCCAAAATGTATCTTTACTTACTTTTTAAATTACAAGTTGGCCAGGGACATTTTCTGTACGGGAGATTACTTTGTACTCCTGGCTGGAAGATGATATCTATACTTCTGACTTTTTGTCTTAAGAGTAAAACTTTAAGAAAAAAACAACAGTTGTGTATTTGTATGTATTTTGACAGAGACAGTGGATCTATTATAAGGTCTAGTCAGCTAATGTCTAAGGTTCACAAGAAATTGCTTAAAAGAAATCAGTTCAAATAGTAGTTTACACAACGATTGCTTACAGATTGTGTTAACGACACAAGTAGAAAATTTAAGGCACGAGCCTTGGGGAGTGCCTTAAAACCTCCTACGAGTGTTGTTATAGTAGTTTACACGATGATTGCGTAAAGATAGTGTTAACGACTGGAGTATAAAATTTAAGGTAAGAGCCTTGGCGAGTGCTTTAAAAACTTCTACGAGTGTTGTTAACATTTAGCGAGCTGTGTACATTACTTTTATATACAAACGACAGTGTTTTAATTACTAAAATTCACTTCTTCTAAGAGAGGATATGTTTTCGTTTATAACCTCTCATTGCCACTGACAGTGATGCAATGAAACATTATGTACCAAACACTAATTTCACCACTCAACATAAAAATTGGCCTGAACAGCTAATTAGTTGATGTATGAATCATTACAATTTTACTTCTTCTCACTCAATCCTTGAACCTCATTGGTCCGTTACCTGTCTTGTTATGAGTAAAACTATGCTGTTATGAAAGTAAACAATGCTGTGTTATGAGATACTTTTCAATTCTAAGAACTGAACTGAATCGATTACTTTAAAAAACTGTCGTAGGTAAATACTGTTTATAACCTCCTCAGTTCCCACGTAACCTATAGGTTACAATATTTAGCGAAATCTGTACAATGTTCTGTTAGAGTTAGATGACTGCAAGTAGTTCCCGCTGTCTCCGCTAGGTTGCAGCACATACTGGGAATTTTTATATTTCATTATTTCATCATCTTCAGTTCATTTTACAGAATGAAAGATGGCGGATCGCGAGTTTCAGGCTTATCCCAGTTCTACTCAAAGTAAGTAAATTATTATTATTGTTTTTAGTATGTGTAAATCTTTCAACAAAAATTACAATAATCTTAAACATATGGTTGTGAAATAGGAACTGTCAAACAAAGAATAAATATTTATTTAGTCAGCAGTAATGGCCCTGAAAGTTTGTTGTAACCGATTGGTTACGTTGGAACTCTATGTTTCGGGCATCTTTACATGTAATATTATTATTATGGATTTTTGTCATGTGTTATGTCTGATTTTTGTGTGTGTGAGTGTGTGTGTGTGTTTGTTTATGTGTATGCTTTTATCCTATTAGTAATATATTTTTATTTTACAGGGGTTTTAGAGGAGTTTTGCGACAACTACGACTTTAGCGAGCTAACAGACGTCGAAGACCTATCAGACGACGATGATGGAAGATCAATTGAAGTTTCTGCACCTCCGAGAATCGATATCTTACTTGGAATTGAAGAGGACCAAGACCTTCTTGAAGAAGCTGTTGACGAACCTGATGAAGTCATCGTGGAACAACCTCATGTTGACGAAGCTGATGGTTTGACACCAACCGAGGTAACACCAACCAATGAAGGTAACACACCTCTGTGTTTTCAACCGACTCAATCTGTAGGGCCAGTCCCTGGGCCTTCTGGTGAAAATTTGAATAAATCTAAAAGATGCCCAGCACCATCTAGAGTTTCCAGTCGGAAACGGGCTAAGGTAGGCCTACCCACTAAGACAAAAAAACCAAGAGCAGAGCGTCGTAAGTCAATTCGACCAAACCCACGTGAACAAACGTTGAGGGCAATGGAACCGTTGCCAACTAATGGTAAATGGGAGGTAAGCAACAACTTTTACCCTTTGCCACCTGCACCTTATTTTGGAGGCCATAATCCTGAATATAACATGTCGTCGCCATTAGATCTTTTTCAAAAGTACATACCTGATGATATACTATGTCAAATTGCTACAGCAACTAATGAAAATATAATTTCTTCCACTGGTAAAGAAATACAAATCACAACTACAGACATGAAGAAGTTCTTTGGTATCACAATAATGATGTCGTACTTGAAATATCCCAGGATAAAGATGTACTGGGCCTCTCGAACAAGGATTCCGCAAATTAGTGATGCCATGCCGAGAAATAAGTACTTTCTTATAAGAAATCACATAAGGTGTCGTGATTACACTAACGTAAGCGATGAAGAAAAGGCAAGAAACAAGTATTGGAAAGTGTCTCCAGTAATTGACAGTGTCAGAGCTAGCTGTTTGTTGAACCCTCGACCCAACGAGGTATCGATGGATGAGCAAATGGTGCCTTTCTGGGGTCACACACAAATGAGGCAGCACATAAAAGGAAAACCTAACCCCTGTGGCCTAAAAAACTTGGTTGTATGTGCTCCAGACGGGCTGCCACTGGATTTTTTCCTATACGAGGGCAAAGGAGATAGTATTTTGCACGAAACTGAACTGAACTATCCTGGTTTAGATATAGGGGGTAAAATTATTGTAAGGCTGTCAAAGAATCTTCCGCAAGGTACTTCAATTTTTATGGACAGGTATTTTACCTCTATACAACTACTTGATGAACTTCACATCAGGGGTTTTCAAGGTACTGGCACACTTATAAATGACAGAATGCCAGAAAACAGAGAAATGTACTCTGACGCTGAGGTGAGGGGAGGTGGTCGAGGCTATATGTGCCAAATAGTTCGAGATGATGGACAAATAGCCATCGTCAAATGGTTCGACAACAAACCGGTGCTATTGACATCGAGCATACATGGCTGCGAGCCAAAAGATGTTTGTCGACGGTGGTGCAAGAAGGAAAAAAGGTATGTACAAGTCGAAAGACCTTACATAATAAAGAAATACAATGAATGCATGGGTGGCGTCGACCTTCTAGATAGGATGATATCCTATTATAGAATTGCTGCTAGGACGAAAAAATGGACCACTAGGCTAATTAGCCATCTGATTGATTTCTCTCTGGCAGCTGGGTGGATTGAGAGAAGAAGAGCCGATCAACAAGCTGGAACTCCTCGAAGAGACAGGTTTGATTTTTTCGACTTTCGTTTTGATGTGGCTCAACACCTGCTGGCGTCAGAAACTGAAGAACCAGTGGACGATGAGGAGATTGAGGATGATCCACAGCCTCTAACCTCTTCCTCGGGAAGGAAAACTCCTTTGCCAACAGATGCTGTCCGGAAGAGCAAGGTTCAGCATCTACCGGAAATTCCTCCAGATGTGAAGCCTTCTAGATGTCGGTTCCCAGGATGTGACAGTCCTAAATGTCGCATTAAATGCAGCACCTGCAATGTTTTCTTATGTCTAAATTCTAATAGGAACTGTTTTAAACTGTTTCATGAGTTATAATGACCAGGTTCCTAAGTTAAAGATTTACGTGTGTAAAAAAATGAGTTTGGTCGAGTTCCGATGTAACCAATAGGTTACATGCTGTTTTGTACATTTCTAATAAAAAAAAAATTCCAAAAAAATTTTTTCTTGTTTACTTTATTTATTTCCTTTAAATATACACAAAAATTACAAAAATAAAATTCTCAGTTTTCCTATGGGTCTGAGGAGGAATTGAAATATTATCCATCAGTCACCTGAGGCTAATTACAGGACAGAAAACGACAAAAAATCTGTTTTTGATAAACAGCCATAGAGGGACAGTTCAATTTATCAAACATTTTTGTGATTGTTTTTACTACAATAAAGTTGTGCCCTCTAACATTGGTATGTGATGACTCATCACTTTTATATAATTAACATTCATTAATCTGAAAATAATAAATAATAGCTGGAGAGCTGATTGGTTGTAGTTCTCACTTAATAACCAGGTCCATGGACCATTCCTGAAAAAAAGTTTTTTTATGGTTCAAAACTGGACCCAGTTTTCCTTTATTATTTTCCTTTTAAACAATCTTCGCTAAATAAACAGCTGATCTTAGTAAGTTACAAAGTTACATAGAACATCTCACTCCAATATACTCCTACACTGCCCTTATATTCAGCACTTACTCAAAGTGTGTCGCCTTCTTAATAACATGCTTGATTCGGTAAAAATTATATAATCTAATTGTTATGACCATTTTCTAGGAGCTCCCTAACTGGTATACTCAGTTGTGTCTATGCTGTGTTCATCGTTACTCTTGGAGTGGTCATTTACGTCAGTGACATGGTGACCGGGGAGGCACCACTAGCAGAAGTATGTCGTCGTCACAAACAACCCAGTTTTCTCAAAGAAATTCTTATAGTCCATGAATTGACAACTAAAAATTAGTACTGCATGCTTATCTTGGTAACTTGTATACAATGGAACAGAATCTAGACAATTTACAGTTTATGTAATTGAAATCATTGTTATAATGATATATTATCATCACAATCTATTCATACCTGTATCTTTAGGTACTTATTTAATTACTGGCACTCAAATTCAACATATTGGATTATTATTATTCCTTTTATTTCATTATTGCTATTAGTCAGAAAGGAACCTCCAAATTTTAGGACATAACTATTTTAAGTAAATATTTAATCATGGTATTTTAGACACTAATAAAATCGTTGTATTTCATCGATTAATATTACTAATTGATAGACTTACTAAACTTCATGTTGGCAGGTTTTCAGCATCTACTTAGTAGTTGTTGGACTCATATACTTTGTTTTCCTCTATGGTGATATTCGAAGATATCTCAACAGGGTAAAAGTGCAAGACAGAGGTTCCCCTCAAAAAGATGGTAATTTTTGTAGATTTTAAGATACAAGTGAATTATTAACTAATGATACCAACTAATGAGACCAATACATCATAAAACAAACAAATGACAAAAATTTTTGTATTGTACCAAAAAACATTGTCAGTAGGCCTATGTATTTCCTAATCATATTGATTCTAACACAGTTTATCTAGATTACAATTCAGAAACTAATTGGCAAATGCTGAACAATTACAAACAGTGTAATCTTTATTGGTCTCAATAACCTATTTTATTATATTTTTGTACTTATATATTGATACAACTAGAGAAGGCCATATGCAAATTCTCGGTTAAAAGTTGATTCAATCTTGCCAAATTTCAATACTAACTGTATGAAATAAAATATGAGTATAGTTTTTGCTTCAATTTCCATCAGAACATGTTTGTAGGGTTGCTGTAAATAATAATTTTATTATACACTTTGTATACTGAGGTAGAAATACAATTCATATGGACCATGCAGCTTGTAACTGGGTTTTAATCAAAGAGAACAAAAATAAACAATTCACTCACAGCGAGTGTCATGCTGTACGATTTTTCTCCATTATAATGTTCAATACTGAGATAGTTATTATCAGTTTGTCTTGTTGGCTTGTTTAAAAGTTTTTGGGTTTAGTAATTGACAACACTTTCTGTTGGAGGCCTTTATTAAACTTCAATCATTTCTACTCTAAAATTGGACTACAATGCTAACTCATTAATGTAGTGTAGAATAGGAAGTTCTACATTGAATGTAAAAAGAATGGAAGAATGTGTCTATAATTTGGTACAGTACGACCTAGTTTTTAATCTTCTCAATCTGGTCTCTACCACAACTTGCTGAGATCTCAAGGTTTCCAGGTACAGATCTCTCGCTGACTGTAGAGACTCAACCGTCCTCTGTGGAATGGACTTCCCTCCCCTCAGCTGACAGTTACCCCCCACTACCCCACCACTACTGCTTCAGCCAGGGGCGCCACTCCGGCAGCTTCTATCTTAAAATTGGGGCTGCAGGTATTTATGACATCTAAACTTAACTAATCCTAGTTTTTTGTTAATTTCTTTGTGTCAGTCTTTGTGCAGGATCTAGGTTAAAATTGAAGGTTTTTTTATGTGGGAAGGGATTCAGGGTCCTGGCCCGTCAAACGTAGCTTATTGTACATTGACCTTGATGTAGACGGATGATCAGTTTTAATTTAGTTAAGATAAAAATGCTTACAAACAAAAGTCATATAGTAGACTTCTTTTACCTACTAAGTTAGATTTCTACTACGGTATAAAATTACTTTCTGCTACAGTAGATCCCTTCTCATTCAGCCAACGGACCTTTACATGAAAAAAATTAACCCTCAGATGTTAATACAACAATGAGTGGTCACATTTCAAAACAAAACATGTGCAAAATTTATAAACTTACTAAACTTTTAATACTAAACTGTTACTTAAATCAGGTTTCTGCCTGGGTCACCTGACTCACAGCGGGTTGTTGTTGGCGTATCAGATAGCCTCGCTGCAGGCTGACCCAGCTGCCTTCTACCGCTGTGCCAGTGTCGCTACCCTAGCTTTGGACGTCCTTTACCCTACCTACTCATTCTGCCAACTGTTCTTCATCTTCAAGTACTCAAATGTAAGAGCCTTAACTAAGAATAGAACTAGACATTATCCACTCTCATGTTAGGGTTGTAGTCAGTTTTAGAATAAAAATGAAAAAGTTTATTTGAGTGAGCATTAGAATTAAAGTGCTGATGTAAATGACTGATTTCTGTCTAATATATGTCAATTTTTTAGCCAAGCAAAACTGGCTTATAATAGTTATAATAGTTGATATAGTTGGTTATAATAGTTATTAGAATATTATAACTAAAATCCTTTATGTTACACCAACTATAACAGTTACTTAAACTATAAGAGAAAAATGAAACTATGGACTATGTAGTACTATCTGTGGTTGATTTTGGATTTTAAAAATTGGCTGATACTGTTCCATATAGATGGACCAGATCTTCTTCCTGATTCAATGGTCAACTGTCAAAAATAATGAATTTAAAATGTTTTTTTTATATTTTTTTTATGGAGCTTACCCATTGCCCTTATTTTTATAACCAATCAATAATACTGCAAACAGTGAACATATATGACATTTGAAACATTTTACAAGTTGAATACCGTACACATTTTTATTATATTAACATTATAATGAGCTAAGGATTCAAATTTAGGAACTAATACTTTTGTTTGTCAGGTTATAATCAACCACTGCCAGGAGCTAGCTAGGTTCGCTATGATGCACTGCATAGCAGCCTCCCTTTGTTTCTGGGTATGGACCATTCTCAGAGAGACGCTGGACTCTCTACACCATGTGGACCCGGAACTACCTCTCACGCCGTACGCACTCCCTCTCAACACCTATCAGATTAGTGAGTTCTTAAAAGTAATTTGTTGATTTTAAAATATCTTCAGAGTTCAAAGTTGTCCTTTTATCATTTCAACGCCTGGCATTTCCTTTACATTTTTGTAGAGGAAAAGTCCAAACCCTAATCTGATTACCATTTCATGCAACCACTTTTTGCACTTTTTTGCATTTACATTCTGCTTTTTCTTAAATTCCTGTCTATTAAAAGGCAATAACCTGTAATTTTCCTGGGACGATTGTGAGCGTTCCTGCACAGGAAGGAATCTTTACGACAACACCACTGCTAATGCCTTCAAAAAAATCTACACTTCTAGGTACCTATCAAATAAGGTGATTCATCAAACCAATCATCTTCATTACTTAACCGTGTAGAAGGTATGGCATCTTCATCTATAGCTAAAATGTAATGTATAGGACCATGAGGTTCTAAATTTGTTCCCTGTAATACAATTTATTTGATTTTATATCTTAAATATTGTTGCAGAAGAGACTGCAGAGCTTTTAGCTTTTCTCAATACAAGTTCATCAGTCAACAAGTGTAGAGGACCTACGCAGTTGTCTGAGGTCTTTGAAAGTTTCTCTCCGTATCTCTATCCTTTCACCATCGAGTATAGCATACTTGTAGGTGAGTACTTTGATGGAGCACCGAACACAGTATTATAAAAAAATGTTATCTTTTATTAATTTAGTTTAGGTAGTGTAGTAGACATTTCCACTTTGGGCCATAGTCCAGCTGTATCCAATCGCTTATGCAAAGATAATGTGGTTGAATGAACCTCTCATACTTGTTTTATTTTACTTATAATGTCTTTAAATTCGTGAATCTAGGTCTCCTAGGATTAAAATGTATGCTATGACATGATTTTGAGTCTCCCATAACCACCTTTTTCTTTCCATGATGAAATATCCAAACCAAGCACCAATAAGCCAATTTAGCGACTGGGAACGTGGGAACCACACAAGCTTTAGCTCTGTACACCACAATGTTATGTTTAAATAAAATAATTATTTTAATAATAAATTAAATGTAAAAAAAGGTTGCAGAAATACGAATTAGTCGTGATGGTTACTGTATAGTAATAATGTTCTCATCTTATAAGTGTCCAGTGGGCTGATACAGTTTTTTTACATAAAAGACTTAGAAGATTGCAGAGCAAAAGATATGGATAATCCTGTTATCGGTAAAATCAGATTTGCTAAGATGGGATTATCTGCTGTACAATAATCAAGTTACCCTGATGTGTCTAGTTGGTGTACTGTTCATGATCTGGCAGAACATCGGCCACTGTGAGAAGTCAGAGTGGTGTCACCCTCCTCCGTTGTCCCGAGGTAGTGGCTTTGTCAGCAATGTTGTCATCTACGCGGACTGTCACTCCTCCAACAAAGGATTGTTTGCTGGCCTCATTGTATTGGCTGGAGCTTTCCTCAGCATAATACTCTTCTTTGTCGCCATGGCTGACAGGTTTGTGTTTATGAATGACATTTGATCAAATAGGGCCAGGTAATAGTGGTCTCTAGGCAAAACTTTTTACTTCGGTTCAGATTTAAAATGTTGACCTCTGTTCTTGGGGGGGTTATCGGGTTGAACTGAGGCGTACAATTATACGATAAATCCAGATGAAGGGGTTTGCGGTTTTGGCCTGCCCCTTCTAGATGATAAGATGTGCTCGCCTAACAATCAAAACGTAGTCGGTTCGATCATGAGAAAAGTAAGTCGTTTTTGATGGCTCGAAACTGGGACCCAGCTGTTCCTGATCATTGGACTTTAAAAATTATCCTGACAATTGAAACAGCAAACAGCTGATCTTAGTCAGTAACAAAGCTAGATCAAGGCCCCGCTAGAAAAACAGTCCATGCTGCAGAGCGAGCAGCGCAACGCTACGTCACAGTGGTGGATAGTTGTACTAAAATCTTACCATTAAAATCTGGCAAACAGCCAGCTTATTTACCTAAAACATATGGGATATGGCAGTGAATCTATCCACTAATGTGACATCATGGATGCTGGAGCATATGGCCTGTTTTTTTCTAGTGGGGCCTTGGCTAGATCCCCTTACACCATTGTACTCTCATCCTTCACTCAAATTTGGATTGAAATACTCACCTAGACGCCCTTATCTCAGTTGATAATGATTATGATAATAAGATAACCAGCCAAAATCGTATTGCATTGGAAGGTACCTATTGACTTTTAAATAATTGTTTTACAACGATTGGCTTATAAATTATTGAACATCACCCATTGTGGTCCCAGTGAAATCGTGAACTTCACCAGTGGTCTCAACAAAATCCTGTACATCTCCTATGATTGTGGCAAAACCGTGAACATCCTTCACGGCTCCACTGAGATATCATTCATTATCATTATTGTCTCCTACAATTTCAGGAAAATTGTGAATTTTTGATCAAGCAATATTTATAGGCACTTTCTGCGATCACAAATGGCTCAAAAATTGAGCTCCTCCCACACTTCTAATTTTTAATTATACGGTTGGAGTTTAGCCCGAACAGTATTTCTGGCCCAAACCAATCTTTCAGGCTTATACTGTTGGATAATTACGGTAACCCGTAGGCCCCTGCATGTTCTCTAACATTCCTCTACAAAACATTATCAAAAATGTTACCAAATTAACATTCGCTGCCCCACAGACGCTACATAGACGTAGGTCTACAAGTCAACGCTGCCACAGAGTTGACCCTGCTAGTGCTGCTGACTGGTGGCACGACCCTGGCCTACCACAAGATCACGCGACTAGACGTCAACCGTCGCCCTGTGTCTCAGCTGGACGATCTGTTGCTGTTTGTGTGTATTCCTGCATTCTTCTTACAAGCTATCCTGGGCCTTACCCCAGCTGTGCGCAACAGCCAGTACATCCCCATCCTCACTATTCTGCTACAGGTTTCTGACAAGTTTTGTATAATTTGTAAGAATGTTTTCAATTTTTGACATTGGGATGGAGGTGTTTCTTGTGCCATAATGGATTCCTTCCTGGCCATACAAAAACATATACCCGTAATGTAATAATGTTTCATTTACTAAGCAATTAACTGTTTTTATTTTTAGACCAGCTTTCCCAGTTATGCTGCACCCTGGCATATATTGTTTTTTTAGTTGTCTAATGTGCACAAGCTTCCAATGAAAAAGATTAAATAGAATTTAAATTCAATGTACAGTACTTGAGAAATATAAGATACATTATGGATTAATTTGAATAATAGAAATATTTAATTTCATGTTATTACCTGATAGACTACCTCCATAAGGATAACATAGAAATGTTGAAGGCTTACAGAATGTATTATTTAAAGTGGTGGTCTCAACTGAGTTATCCATAACATAAACCTTAATTCAAGAACAACAACCTTCATTATTTTTAAGATGACTATCAACATAGTGGAACATTTAGAAATGTTTTAGTAACCGTACTTTTGTTCCTTAGGTGGTACAAGTTCTACTCCAGACACCATTTATCATGGACGGATTGCGGAGATGCAGCAACTCTCGCAGTTTGAGACTGGAGAAGCCCGGGAGGGAACTGGTAACTTTCCTGATTGTCTGCAACGTAGCGATGTGGATCACAGAGACTTTCGAGATCAAGTCTCAGTCTACCAGTAGAGACTACCGCTCGCAATTCTACGGACGAGTGTTGTGGACGATGTTGAGTCACTTGACACTTCCTCTTACGATGTTTTATCGCTTCCATTCCTCCGTTTGTCTTGTCGACATATGGAAATCCGCTTATGAGAAAGGCTACTGAGAATGTGTTCATACATTGATGGATTGGTTAGGTAGTGACCTGTTTTGAAAATTTACATATAGACTAATTTTAATGATAGGATAGTGATGAACCATAAGAAAGCAAAATTTATGACTTTCACCAAAATTTTATACCAATGCTTCAGTGCTTGATATCCAAGTAGAGTGCCTACCAGCAGGGAATTCTGGAAAATTTTGGGAAAAGTCGGAAATTTTAAAAAGCTTGGAACAGTCGGGAAAAAGTAATGAATTTATTGGGTAATGAAAACTTAGCAACCTTTCCATAGTAATATTTTCATATATAGCTACTTGTTTCACCTTCGTCTCCATTTTTTCTTATCTAAACTGTATTATTTATTTTTGCCATTTTAAATTTCAAACTTGAAGTGTTTAATTTAAATAAACAAATTTTACTAGGTACATCAATCTCATTCAACCAAATCACAAATCCTTTAATCACTCACAAGTCACAAAAAATATCGCTATGCCTTATCAATAGTGTTTCGAAATATATAAAGAAACAATATACAGTATATAGGCTCCATCGTCCATCCATTTACAGACTTACCATTGATTAAGAAACTCAGTATACCAATGTTTAGAAACAAAAGACACTGTAAACAACTTAGTTTGATGAAATTTTCCTAGGTTAAATTTAATATTTATGGAAGTAGAAGAAAAAGCTAATACCCAAACATCAACAACACAAATGGTTAATCATATAGCTGGGGCGCTGGGTGGGTCCCAGAAGGCTGCAGGTGTGCTGTGCGACCTATCCAGCGCTTTTGACTGTGTTAACCACAACATTTTAATTGAAAAGCTAGGCAAAATTGGAGTTTTAACAAAAGAACAACACTGTGGTTTTCTTCCTATTGAACTAATAGATATCAGAGAACTAAAATCAGCAAAAATTGTCAACAAGTAAATTCATCTTGGGATAAAGTGCAATGTGGTGTGCCACAGGGGTCAATATTGGGTCCCTATTTGTTTTTGATCTATGTAAATGATCTGCCAAACATAAAAAATGAAACTTTTTCAATATGCATATGACATAATGCTTTTGTGTAGAGGACCCACTATTGACTTCCTGCATTCTAGCATAGACAGAGAATTCTCTGCTCTGGGTAACTGGTTCCGGGCAAACGGTCTGGTACAAAATGTGGAAAAAACAAATATCATAAACTTTTCGGCTAACTACAGGGCAGATGATTAAACTCACATTATACACTAAATCATCAATTATCTCCACAACAAAATGTTAACTTTCTCGGATTAATTTTGAATAAAAATCTTAACTGGGCAGTGAGCACCCCAAATTGAAAATGTAAGTAACTCTTGCATTTTTTCAATAAGAATAATGTCACAAGTAACGAATCTAGAAACCCAGCTAATAATATAGCATGCATATTTCTCATCATTAATGACAGTAGTATCTTGATCTGGGGTAACTCTCCTCATTCAAAAAAAGATGTTTAAATTACAAAAAAAAGTAATACTGTACAAATTATTGGCATAGTTCCCCTAGAACCCCTAGTAAAAGACAGTTACAAAGAAAACTGTATAGAGTTTTATTACTTATTTCCTATGATAAATAATCAACAAACCATCAACATATAAGAATAAATAAACCTGTCACTTGGTTGTTCAAAGTATATGCATTTAATTTTTAAAACAGCTGTGTGGGATTGTGAATTAATGTGCTTTGATAGTTCTGCTTGTTTTTTGGGTGGCATAGCAAAATATGAACATGGTGAGTGTTTTCATGGCAGCTATGGAAACCAATCAATATTCACTTTTAAAATCCTCACCTCAGAACTTTTAAGGCCAAAGTGCCAAAGCTCATGGCCATTATCGAAGTGTGAATAGTCCTATTCCCATCCTTGGTATGGTAGCTATAATTTTGTAAAACTTAAGTCCTGTCAGTTCAGTAGTTTTTACATTATTTAGTAACACACATATATACAGACACCATTAGATTTGTATATAATAGTATAGATTGTTGTTGCACTTTAAATTAGTTAAACTTTTAAAATATTTTGATTGCGAAATAGGTTCCTGAACCTCGATTTCAAACTTGAGAAATGAAATTCTCGAGAACAGCAGATTAAAACCCAAGAAAACCTGAATCAGAAACAATATTGTACTACACAATATAGTTTGGATGAGGCAAACAAATTATGTGACAAAAACAAATTATGATAGGTTTTATACACATATTATGAGAACACATAATAAAGATGCTCAATTGATGATGATGATAAAACAGGTCATATTATTACTAAACCAATCTCATTATTACCTGTATAATAGTATAACCTTTTTTTAAATCTGAAGTTGATCTTTTGTCTTTTGAAGAAAGAGCATTTATGTTTTGTATTCTATAGATAAAAAAGTAGTTACCAGTGCCTTGAGAATTGCATAGCAATAATTCTACGAAGTACCTTACTTTGTCATTTAACATTGTTATTTATTTTTTGTAAATGCTATTTATTGTTAATTAGTGTTATGTTTGTTAATTTATTGTTTTCAATAAAGTTAATTATATCATGGGTGAGAGGTAAATAACATGTATTTATGAGATAAGATTAAATGTTTCATTGGTTTTTACCTTTCTATTTATTTTATTAATTTCTTTCATTTCCTGCTTTAGACAGTTCAACAAAAAAAGTAAAAATACCCCCATAGCAACAAACCTACAGACTAAGCGAATCTCCATTTACCTAGCTGGATTTCTACTAATTTATCCCCTTAAAATTGGGGGGCCACCAGTTGACCGACAAGATACTTGGTCGTTTTGCCACTAGACCGTCTTTTTAAATTAAATAGATAAATACTGAAAACCAGTACGTCGACAAGTTATTTCATCGTCAGTCCAGTTGACCGGCCTGTAAAACTAAATTATTATATACGAGAAACCAACTTGTCGTCAATCGACCCGGCCGACATAAGTAGTGGATACATAGGGCTGCTGAGGAGTGACGTCACAAGAGCCATGTGGTGCTTAATTGACGGTTAAGCATCTGGTGGTAATGGTGCGTGACCTAGCACGTGGTGTGGTGGGTTACGGTATGGTGACGTCATGATGACGACATGCTGAGGTGTGAAAGTTAGGTGGATCGATATTTTCAAGGTTATTGTTGTGGTTTAAAAAAAAACAGCATATCGGTAAAGGGATAAGTACCGATATGCTGATTTTTAAATTCTTTATTGAAAAATCAAAATTGACATACGAGGAATATAATTGTTTTCAAACTTAAACCTAATACAGATCTAAGCTAAACTAAACATTTGGATCATAGAAGTTATAGGAGATCTACTACAGTAACAACAGTTGTCAAATTGTCATCCACACATGTCGCAAGCGAAACAGTGTTTGCATTGGTAAGAAGAGTAAATTACGATTTTTTTGTCCATGCATATTATACACTCAAAGTTTGCTTCTTTTATTGGAAACATAGTAGGAATTTTGTTAAATTTGAGAAATTAGCTATATATACGACATAAAACTGTTGGAGATAACTATTTGTACATGTTACCTTTGCAATGTTTGCGATATAATTTGTTGTTAATGAGATGTTGTCTTTAGCTAGTTCCACTACAGACTAATGAGAGACCCATCATACACATTCTTTTATGCTGTTTATGATTGCTATCTGGTATACAGCAAACATTCGCAATTGAAATATTTCCACTTTTGTCTTTGCATTTTATAAGATCGTCAAGTGAAAAGTTTGTTATTATGTACATATTACGAAAAGTGTTTGGATTTTGGTTTGCAATGTTTCTGTGAGAAAACTTATTAAAAACCACTATTTTATTATGTCACCATTATAAACATAAATTCAGAACTAAACTAAAATATCACTTTAATCCTGCAAGGTGTATCAGCTATTTAACTGGTATGGAAAAGTAATGTACACAGTGTTTCTACTTCTTCGTGAACAGTTGGCGGTACATGCGGGCAGATCATTGTTCCACTAATTACAACCATGTGCCACATTTGCAACATAGTACCTTATATTTCTAAGACTTGTTTATTCATCCAAATCGTTATGTTTTTGAATGATTTTTAAAATAACAAACATTTGGTATATTGTACATTGCTTAATGTTAGACGTACAAACGATCAAGCTATATAAAAACAAATTTCCCACTCTTTACCCTATAATTTACTATTTATTTAAAGCAAATGTTAACTCTCATTAAATACTCTTGGTTGTATTGTAATCCAACGTATTTCTGTTTATCGTTTGTCCTTTTGTGAAACTGTTTGAATGTTTTTTTATTGCTAGTTGTAGTACAGAAAACTATTCAATTTAACTAATTTCACTGTTAAATATGTTCAAATGTTAGGTAAGGCTTCTTTCACCGTCAACCAGTCTTTCTAATATATCCATCACTTCCTTGCTAAATATGGATCTTTTTACACTAGATGATATTATATTTATTTGTTCTGGAATGTCTTGATGTAATGCTCTATTGTAGCTCAGATAAGGAATATTATCTGTAGTGGATGAAATAGTGTTATCTTGTATGTTGTTATTATTTAACTTTGAATTGTTGGATTCCATTTGTCTGTCTCTAGTGAAACCACTTTATGCGAGTTTACCAATCAAACAATATAGATGTATTGTTACATGTATTGTATAAACAACCAAGGTGTACAAAATAAAATCCCTTCCTTCAATACTGTTATCTACAATTAATTTTAAAGCAAATTAGCGTTTTTTAGCAAACAATCTTTTACATTATATAAACTTACTGCGAGATATTTATATTAACACTATCACGTAAGCTACATCGTGTCATCAAGAGGTTGTGTACAATCCCTAACAAAATTGTTGACTTGCAAATTGTTTGTTATTTTAAAACCAATTCGGAAAAATATCCTTTTAATTCAAATGAAAACAAAATGAATTGACAAAGCGTGTAGACCAAAACTAATACGGTTACTGGTAATTTCATTGTTTCAACGGTAGCTTCTCCAGTTAGTGAAGATCCCTGTAACGCCCGCATGTGTTTCAACGGTTCGTTCTTCGTGATGTTCCAATCCAGAGAGCTGAAACGTTCAATCACCCCACTGTCATTGAGAAAATACTCTTTACTTGGTTCTTTTACGTTGAAGTAAAACACATCGCAGCAAGCTAGATCTTTAAAGTTTTGTATTCAGAACGTTTCTATCTGGAACATTATAAGGTAAAACTATTTGACCATTGCAAACATTCATTAGTTAATTGTTAAATAGTGAAAGGAT